ATTGGAAAAAAGCTAAGAAAAGCTAAGTTCTGCCACAATTAGTAGTTTATAAAACTATCAACATGCTCTTTTAAATTTTATATAATAAAAAAATGAAAAAATTAGGATGATATTTGGAAAAAAAAAAGGCAAATTACTAACTGCATATCTTTTATGTTTAAGCTAAATTGGGATTGTTCAAAATTGCACTTAGCCTTTAAGTCTTCAAAAGAAACTGGAGATTGGCCAGAAAACCCCTTAACATTTCTTAGTCTAGATTTGTTTCTTAAATGAGTACTTTGTCAGTAAGCTTGTGTTTGTCATTTCTTTTCAAATGAAGCTCAGATTTGGGGATGCTGCTTTGAGAATAGAGGTCAACCACGCTGCTATAAATCTGGCGTCATCCTCGGAGACTCACTTTCTCAGCTGTTTGCAGGACCACATTGCTAAATTACAGGTAAAATTGGTACATGTTTACAGGTTTATGTAAAAACGAGTCTGGATAAGTTGCACCTTTTAATGTTAATCATGAACTGACTATTTGTCCTGATGAACAGCTATGTTGATATATAGCATCGGGTGCTTTTTTTCTGCCTGATAAGAATAATACATCTGGTGATATAGCTGATTTGTGTTTTTTAATAGGATGTGTATTTTTTTTTGTTTTACTGTAGGTTGTTTCAGAAACCCTGAGGTCCCTTGTTGAGTCTGCAGCTGTCACATCTACGAAGGAGAATATTTCTGATAAAGCAGTCACGTCACCCTCATCTAAGGAGAAGACAGCAGGGTTTTCAGAGCTCAGTCCACCCGGCTCAGATGCTGCAGAGACTAAGACCCCGACGGATGACGTCATGATCCAGATCCGAGCCGGAAAGTCAGAGGTTGGTCCATTTCAGCGGATCCGTCAGCTGTTCTGGCTGTGACATTTTAGAGCCCTTCACATTCTGTCAAGCCAAATGAATAATCATAAGTAATTGCTCCCGAGGATGTGAGCATGACGTGCAGCGAAACGCTTGATAGAGACCTGATAGACCGGGTTCGACAGAGAATAAGGGGTGCTTTAGAGTTGGGCTGGGGTAGAACATACCACGTTGTTGGAGGGTTTTGAGAGAGGGCCAGGTCCTTGATGGATTATGAAGTGGATGCTCATTACTCTGAGATTGCATGTGGATGAAGGACAAGAGGCGGCATTCTGTTGTGCATTTATTTTGGTAGCCAAGCAAACCGCATTCGTATTCCATCATATAACGATGGAAGAAATCTTTTTCTTTTTCCTCTTCTGTTTTTTTGCTCCCTAGATTAGTCTATTACATTACATTTCTCATTCTATGTAATATAAATCACCACATCACCCTGTTCCACAACATTAAGTAGGAAAAAAATATTTCATTCTTCAAACCGATCAGTACCTCATCAATCTATTGTGTCCTATTATCTTTGTTGTGTCTCCAGATAGAGCGAAGAATATCTGCATTTATGGAACGTAAGCAGATGGAGATCAATGAAAACAATGTGCGCGAGTTTTGCAACGTGATCGACTGCAATCAGGGTGAGAACGGAGGAGAGGGTTGGGGGCAGGGTGGAGAGGGAGCCTGCACACAGATTGCCAATGTTTGGGAGAGAGCTGATTTCCACAGGCGAGAGGTCAGGCTGAACTGCTACAAGAGTGGGCCTGAAGTAGCTAACACGCTCGGCCTTAAAAATGCAACCTGTTCTGTGCAGAAAAACATGAGACGGGGGACCTGCTTGAAATTCAAAGCCTGTCTGAGACACCAGTAACACAAAATCAGTAGAAACTGCTGTTCATGTGTGATGTATACTTTGTTTTTCAGAAGACTTTTCATTAAAATGGGAACATCTAAATGCTTTTTATGTGAAATATGATCCTAGAGAACAGCTGTGCAAGGACAGATGCCATCTTTACTCCATACCCAGGGTTTAAAAGCCACGTAAAAGGTAAGAGCATCTGAAATTGTTCACATTAAAAAATACATTTTTGTTAAAAATAGACGTTATATTTAAAACTTGATGTATAATTTCTGTGCAAAGTGTTCATGCACATGTTAAGCTTTATAGCAATATATCAAATATTGCACTCATTTGCAATAGTACACTAATTGATACGTGAAGTTGGTAGCATTTTCATATCCTTGTGCAGCTATCCTCATGTTGTTGACATCACTCCAGTTTCCCCTGAGTCACAGCCTTTGTTTCTTTTTTTGACTGGGCAGTCACACGAGTAGTAAACACTTATGGGCCCCAGACACGTAGTACCGGGGGCCAAGGGGAGGCTGGGGAGCCTCCAAAGGGACAAGCAGCCAAAGACTGTGGAAATGCAGCAACAGAAGAGCGTCTTCAAAACATTGAGGCTCATCTCAAACTGCCATCAGGTCAGCAAAATATAAGGAATTATATAAAGTACCCAGTTTATATAAATGTATTCATGATAGTTTTTTTCTCTCTTCAGTGGGTCCAGTTCCTTTGAATGTTTACCAGAGGCTCAAGAAGCTGGAGGATCGCATTCTGGAGTTAGAAGGACTCTCCCCTGAGTACTTTCAGTCTACTGTGAGTCTTTAGGATTTATAATGAATTAGGGCTGGCCAATTAATCGATACAATTCTTTAATCACCTTATAGAGGATATAGAAAAGCTGTTCCAATTAAGTCTTACTATTACAGGGTTCCCGCAGGTCCTTAAAAAGTCTTAAAAGGCATTGAATTCTTCGAAATAAAACTAAGGCCTTAATTGGTATTAAAATGTCTAAAATCACTCTTTTGTAGGTCTTAATTTTTAAAACGTCATACATAGGATTATTTTTATTATGATTTATTTTTGTAATCTAAATAAAACTTTAAAATTTACCTTTTTTTTT